CATTGCCCATGAACTTAGAAATACCAAGTAAGTTTTAATAGTGTTTGTAATAGTGTTTTGAATCCGGGACTGACTGTATAATTAATAGTTCGCTAGATGCTGTGGATAAATGGCGGGTTTGCCAAAATGATGAGTTTCCTTCGCATAATGAACTCAAGGCAACGACAGAGTACACAACCGCTACACATAGGAGGGGAAGGGAGGAGAGAAAACGTTTCAAATATCCGCAGCGTCGGTTTGGAGAGCCTCTACCAGACCTCACCAAAACCCTGCTGCTAATCATTATTTAAGCTAAAGAGGAAGCTATGGTTTTTGTTCATTTGCAGTGTACTCGTAGTTTGCCACAAATCTAAAATCTTACTGAGACAGAGCAAACAGAGGTCAGGAGAGATGTTCATTCCCACAAAATGTCACTCAGTTTATCAGGATAAATATGATTTCATTTATTGGCATTTCAGATTTGTTTCTTACTGTGGCTGTATATTTTTATTCCATATATGAAAATACTTTATGTGTCTTATTTCAACTAAAAGAACCACCACTTGTAGAAATGATGCACTTTCCATCTTTTTGAGTTGTTATAGAGCTACTGATGAGCCTTAAGTATCTGAAATTCAGATTCATTTGTGGAAATTGGAAAAAATTCAAATGATCTATCCAAAAACATTTCCTGTGATCATTTTCTTCCACATGCTTCATAAGGACCATCACCTTGTTTGGATCCCTTTCTTTCTAATCCCCTCGTCTATATTTTGCTCATAATTTGATATGAAGCCTCATTGTTCTCTATTCTGATTCCGTTTACACTGTTTCAATTTGGATTCTGCATTATTCTTGATGCATATGACACAGCTCTCTCTCAACAACGTGAATCTAGACCAGCAATGCTCTTGGAGGAGAGGAACAGAATCACAGCGGCAAAAATGCAGGATTTTCTTCATTTAAGATTTAACACATGTGGAAATGGGTGTAATGTTTTAGATCAGAGCCATATTTTCAAATATTATCCAAAATACATTGGTTTGACAGTGGTACAGTTCATTTTGGTTACATGATCCTCTAGTTTTAATGTAGTATTTCTTGTAGTATTCTGTAGTTTTAATGTATTATTTTGTCTTTGTGTTTTTGTCCTTAAGCCCAAAGCAACAACTTTGTACAGTTGACACAGTGCCATCTCAAACAGCAACTACAGCAAGCTGTGTCACAAGAAAAGCCATCTGGCTATTCAGGTAAAAACAAAATTGTGTAGTGCTTTGCAATTCATAAGTTGTAAGAGGTTTACCATCATCACAGAATATACATACTATTCCAAATGAAAATGAAGCAGAATATGTACTATGCACCTGAACATGGATTCACATATATTTTACAGGATATCAGCAGAGAGGAAGTTCAAGAGGACCAGGCTGAGCAAGTCCTGAGGATCTGTGTCTTCCACACAAGTGAAGAAGATGAAGGTGCATCCGACACTGATGTGTCCATTGTTATTGAAGGGACTGAGGTACTTGACAACTATGGAAGTGTTACAAAGGCCTGTCTCCTGCTCATGAGCATCATTTATGCCATGAATTTGAGTTACCCCCCCAAAAACAAAGTACACTTTGGAAGTTTTTCAAAAGCTTCTTCTAGAGCTTGATGTCCTTAAGCTGTCCCCGAAAATCCTGTCTCTGCGAAACAAACTTGAGTCTGAGTGCACATGTATACGGCACAGTTGTTAATGTGGCTATTTGTCTATTTTCTTATTTTTCTCTCGTTTTAATGATGTCATTTTTATTTGAACTTGTTGCACTGTATTAAATACTGTATGTGGCCATGTGGAGTGGCTACGTTTTGGGAACAAAAGAAAAGAAGTTAGATCAGCATTTTCAAGTTAAACCAGAGGTTCTCAACTGGTGGCTCGTGGGGCCATTTTTAATGGGTCACGGATGTGAGTGTGGGCATGAAAAGAGCAAGGGGCCAAATATCGCACTTTTTAGTGTCAAGATGCTCTGCTTTTTGTAGGATATTACTCATGATACAGAAACAGACGTTTAGAACCTCAGAGCAAAACACTGTTCTTTAAGATAAAAAGGAATAGTAAGCATGTCTTTTAAGATGCACCAGCATGTCAAATGTTTTCCAGAGTTTAAGGTTAAAAAGCCTCTCCAAACGATAGGCTACGTATGCTCTATGCAAACAGTTCCTGAACTTGTCCTTGTGCCTTTAACAAGCTACCTCAAACCCATTTTAGCCACCCTAAGATGAAATTTCTGTCATCGTCTACTCACCCCGATGCCGATAGAAGGACTCATCATGCTCTTCTGGGAGTTTGCCGAGATGTTTGTTTCTCACAAAACTGCATTGAACGGCAACTTGGCTTCAAACATCCAAAAAATGTCTCCATATTGCTCATCTGAAGTAATCCAAGTGTCCTGCAGCTTACACATTCCTAGATGTTTTGAAAAACAGAACAAAATTGTGTTTTGGCTTTGTTTGCTCTGCTTTGCTTCCACTGTGGTGCTGCGTGAACACGGATGGGCTAGCTGGAAGTTAGTAGTGTGTAAGTTTGTGTGCGGCGTTGGAAGGAGCACGCATTGGAAGAGCAGCAGAGCAAACACAGCTGAAAACACAAGTTTGTTATGTTTTGTACAAACGTCTTGGCATGTGTGAGCTACAGGACTGAATTAAAGTGTTCTCTAATGTCAGTAAATATTAAATTTGGGGTAATGACACTGATCCTGGATCAGCATTTAAATGTACCTTTGAGTTTATTGTAAGGTATTCTTATTATACTGCAGTGGAGAACAGAGTGACACATCTCAAACCATCATGGACACAAAAATACTAATCTTGATCTCATGAATTAAGACTTTCTACTTCACTTGTTGAATATTGTAACTGTGTTATCTTGTGACCAGTTAAAGTCATCAGAAATCAGTATTCAGCAGCTTATTTTAAACTAAAATAAAGAATCTCCAGAGTATACCCCCTTGCCGCTTTGTATTTTCTCGGCTCATGCCTCCTTCTCACCTTTTCACCCCCTAACCAGTTTGTGTTGAGACTGAGCTCGTGAACACACATGCAGACACTCCAGGAGACAGGGACTTAATAGGAAACTAGTGTTTATTGAAAAGAGGGGGAGAGGGAGTGCAGACCTGGGCAAGCTTGGGCTGGTGGGTGTGAACCTGGGGCTGAGGGTTGGACTGGAAGCTGGAACCTGTCTGCACTCAGGCAATCACACACACATACAGTTAGAGAGAGGGAGAGAGACACTCGGGGAGTGGCAGCAGGTTAGATAGACTGAATCATCATAGTTTGTATCTCTCACTGTAACCATGGTTTGTGAACTTAATAACAACCACAATGAATCCCAAATGTGTGATTTGACACAACAGAACTGCTTTGTGTAACCTGTAAAAACACATCTGACATCCTTTCATAAGATAACTCATGTATGACGACAACAAGTCAGAAATGAGACATTTGACAGCATAAATATTAGACTTGGGCAGGTGGTGCCTGATTCCTTTCAAATGAGCATTAAACTGCTCTGCCAGCTGGCTGTTGATGATAGCGTGCTGCAGATCACTGTCAGCGTTATACAACACTTCAACCAGCACACAATAAAAGTACAGCATTCCTCTTAGGCATTAGAAGTAACAGGAATACGTTTCTTACCAATGTGGTTCTTCCAGTGGAGCCGGTCTAGGAGGAACCAACTGTGTTTAAAGAATGCTGGAGCACGGTTCAGTGCAAAGCTGTGCAGTATAGGGCTGAGGGAGTGCTCGGCTAACATGAGAACAGATAATTTACTTTTAACGAGTATCAGAGGCTCCACAGGTTCCCTCGTTGCACTCCATGGAAGATTTTCCACTCGAGCAGTCTTGTGACGATACTCTACGCTTTGCCTTTGACCAAGTGATAAAAATTGTCAGTTGGTGCAACCTGATGCAGCACAGACATATCCACATTTCACATTGGTTAGGGACAGGCTATACAGAGTGAGTCGTGACACTCAGTCAGCAGAGGTTGTTTGTTCCGGAAAGCTGCCGGGAAACAGTTTTCCAGGTGGCTCATTATAACCCAGTGGCGGGGCACATGGGGTATGAAAAACACTAAACCGGATAATGGCCCGTTTCTATTGGCCTGGGATTCGGGGAGATGTACGCCGCTGGTGTGAGTCTTTCCCCGAAAGTCAGTTGGTTAACCAACTGGCCATCCCAAGAGCACCATTGCGTCCATTATCACTTATTGACGTTCCATTTGAGCGTATTGGCATGGACCACATCGGGCCATTTCACCGGAGCGCACGTGGATATCGTTTTGTACTAGTCCTGGTGGATTATGCAACTCAATATCCAGAAGCAGTGCCTCTGCGCACAACCTCTGCAAAGAGTGTGGCACAGGCACTGTTCCAGGTCATCTCCTGAGTTGGGATCCCAAAAGAAATCCTAACAGACCAGGGCACCTCGTTTATGTCATGCACACTCCGGGAACTGTATGGGTTATTGGGCATCAGGTCAGTTCGGACTAGTGTATACCACCCTCAGACCGACAGCCTTGTCGAGCGTCTGAACAAAACCTTGAAGTCCATGATCCTTAAGTTTGTGCACGACGGCCGCAATTGGGATAGGTGGCTAGATCCTCTGCTGTTTGCAGTGCGTTAGGTGCCCCAGGCCTCGACAGGACTTTCTCCCTTTGAATGATGTTTTATAACTAGGTTCGGGAACAAAGACCACGCCCTGCAATCATCTAATTTCTGCTCGAAACTTACTAAAGCATACCTTATCCGTTCACTCCCTCCTTGACTCATTTCCCACATCCCTCCCACCCAAACCCTTTCTTTTTGTCTCCCTCTTATCCAAATACAGGAACCACTGGGGCTCTCTACAAGAGATACGAAGAGACAGTTCCCCCACTCAGTGTCTCGCAACCCACTCAGTTCCCTCTTACATCGCGCCATCCATCCATTCATCGATCCGCCAACCGACCTTCATTCCTCCTACCTTCATTCCTCCGACCTCATCCATCCCTCATTCCTCCGACCTCATCCATCCCTCATTCCTCCGACCTCATCCATCCCTCATTCCTCCGACCTCATCCATCCCTCACTTCTCCGACCTCATCCATCCCTCATTCCTCCGACCTCATCCATCCCTCATTCCTCTGACCTCATCCATCCCTCATTCCTCTGACCTCATCCATCCCTCATTCCTCTGACCTCATCCATCCCTCATTCCTCCGACCTCATCCATCCCTCATCCCTCTGACCTCATCCATCCCTCATTCCTCTGACCTCATCCATCCCTCATTCCTCTGACCTCATCCATCCCTCATTCCTCCGACCTCATCCATCCCTCATCCCCCTACCTTCATCCCTCGAACCTACCTTCATCCCTCATCCCTCGAACCTACCTTCATCCCTCATCCCTCTAACCATCCCTCGAACCTACCTTCATCCCTCGAACCTACCTTCATCCCTCATCCCTCGAACCTACCTTCATCCCTCGAATCACCCCTCATCCCTCAGTATACCACATTGGTTCACATTTGTTCATTATGTGCAATAAACGTTTCTTATTTCATACATGTGATGGCGTGGTCATTGTTAGTGAAACTGCTGTTTGGCAGGACACCACAGGGGGTTCTGGACGTGGTTAATGAAAGCTGGGAGGAAGGTCAGAGCCCAAGTATAAAAGAAGTTCAGTATGTCCTGGACCTGAGAGCAAAACTCCACACATTGGGACAGTTGTCACAGGAGAATCTGCTCAGGGCCCAGGAGCGTCAACAACGCCTGTACAGAGGAACTAGACTTAGACGATTTGCACCGAGAAATAAAGAACTTGTATTACTCCCATCTTCCAGCTCTAAATTACTCGCCAAGCGGCAAAGGCCCTTTGTGGTCACACGGCGAGTGGGTGATATCGATTATGAGGTTGTGCGTTCTGACAGGGGAGAAGCAACTCAGATTTACCACCTTAATCTCCTTAAAGTGTGGAGAGAGGCGGAGAATGTTTCTATGGTGACCACGGTGAAAGAGAGTGATGACTTGGGGCCTGAGGTACCAAAGTCCACCAATCCTGCCTTGCTCCATTGTGATGACCATCTCACCCTGTCCCAGAGAGCAGACAGTGCCGTGTTGCAACAGCGTTTTGCTGATGTGTTCTCCCCCCTGCCAAGACGCACAAGTCTCATACAGCATCACGTTGAGACTCACCCAGGCGTGACGATGCGTTCACAGCCCTATCGGTTACCTGAACACAAAAGAAAAGTGGCTCAGAAGGAACTGAAAGCCATGTTGGAGATGGGAGTAGTAGAAGAGTCCAACAGTGCCTGGTGTCGCCCCATTGCTCTGGTGCTTAAGAAGGATGGGGCTATTGTGTCCACCATCATGGACACTAAAATACTAATCTTGATCTCATGAATTAAGACTTTCTACTTCACTTGTTGAATATTGTGACTGTGTTATCTTGTGACCAGTTAAAGTCATCAGAAATCAGTATTCAGCAGCTTATTTTAAACTAAAATAAAGAATCTCCAGAGTATACCCCCTTGCCGCTTTGTATTTCTCTCGGCTCACGCCTCCTTCTCACCTTTTCACCCCCTAACCAGTTTGTGTTGAGACTGAGCTCGTGAACACACATGCAGACACTCCAGGAGACAGGGACTTAATAGGAAACTAGTGTTTATTGAAAAGAGGGGGAGAGGGAGTGCAGACCTGGGGAAGCTTGGGCTGGTGGGTGTGAACCTGGGGCTGAGGGTTGGACTGGAAGCTGGAACCTGTCTGCACTCAGGCAATCACACACACATACAGTTAGAGAGAGGGAGAGAGACACTCGGGGAGTGGCAGCAGGTTAGATAGACTGAATCATCATAGTTTGTATCTCTCACTGTAACCATGGTTTGTGAACTTTAACACCATGAATCCCAAATGTGTGATATGACACAACAGAACTGCTTTGTGTAACCTGTAAAAACACATCTGACATCCTTTCATAAGATAACTCATGTATGACGACAACAAGTCAGAAATGAGACATTTGACAGCATAAATATTAGACTTGGGCAGGTGGTGCCTGATTCCTTTCAAATGAGCATTAAACTGCTCTGCCAGCTGGCTGTTGATGATAGCGTGCTGCAGATCACTGTCAGCGTTATACAACACTTATACCAGCACACATACCAGCACACAATAAAAGTACAGCATTCCTCTTAGGCATTAGAAGTAACAGGAATACGTTTCTTACCAATGTGGTTCTTCCAGTGGAGCCGGTCTAGGAGGAACCAACTGTATTTAAAGAATGCTGGAGCACGGTTCAGTGCAAAGCTGTGCAGTAGGGCTGAGGGAGTGCTCGGCTAACATGAGAACAGATACTTTACTTTTAACGAGTATCAGAGGCTCCACAGGTTCCCTCGTTGCACTCCATGGAAGATTTTCCACTCGAGCAGTCTTGTGACGATACTCTACGCTTTGCCTTTGACCAAGTGATAAAAATTGTCAGTTGGTGCAACCTGATGCAGCGCAGACATATCCACATTTCACATTGGTTAGGGACAGGCTATACAGAGTGAGTCATGACACTCAGTCAGCAGAGGTTGTTTGTTCCGGAAAGCTGCCGGGAAACAGTTTTCCAGGTGGCTCATTATAACCCAGTGGCGGGGCACATGGGGTATGAAAAACACTAAACCGGATAATGGCCCGTTTCTATTGGCCTGGGATTCGGGGAGATGTACGCCGCTGGTGTGAGTCTTTACCCGAAAGTCAGTTGGTTAACCAACTGGCCATCCCAAGAGCACCATTGCGTCCATTATCACTTATTGACGTTCCATTTGAGCGTATTGGCATGGACCACATCGGGCCATTTCACCGGAGCGCACGTGGATATCGTTTTGTACTAGTCCTGGTGGATTATGCAACTCAATATCCAGAAGCAGTGCCTCTGCGCACAATCTCTGCAAAGAGTGTGGCACAGGCACTGTTCCAGGTCATCTCCTGAGTTGGGATCCCAAAAGAAATCCTAACAGACCAGGGCACCTCGTTTATGTCATGCACACTCCGGGAACTGTATGGATTATTGGGCATCAGGTCAGTTCGGACTAGTGTATACCACCCTCAGACCGACAGCCTTGTCGAGCGTCTGAACAAAACCTTGAAGTCCATGATCCTTAAGTTTGTGCACGACGGCCGCAATTGGGATAGGTGGCTAGATCCTCTGTTGTTGGTGGCTAGATCCTCTGCTGTTTGCAGTGCGTTAGGTGCCCCAGGCCTCCACAGGACTTTCTCCCTTTGAATGATGTTTTATAACTAGGTTCGGGAACAAAGACCACGCCCTGCAATCATCTAATTTCCGCTCAAAACTTACTTAAGCATACCTTATCCGTTCACTCCCTCCTTGACTCATTTCCCACATCCCTCCCACCCAAACCCTTTCTTTTTGTCTCCCTCTTATCCAAATACAGGAACCACTGGGGCTCTCTACAAGAGATACGAAGAGACAGTTCCCCCACTCAGTGTCTCGCAACCCACTCAGTTCCCTCTTACATCGCGCCATCCATCCATTCATCGATCCGCCAACCGACCTTCATTCCTCCTACCTTCATTCCTCCGACCTCATCCATCCCTCATTCCTCCGACCTCATCCATCCCTCATTCCTCCGACCTCATCCATCCCTCATTCCTCCGACCTCATCCATCCCTCATTCCTCCGACCTCATCCATCCCTCATTCCTCTGACCTCATCCATCCCTCATTCCTCCGACCTCATCCATCCCTCATCCCTCAAACCTACATCCATCCCTCATCCCCCTACCTTCATCCCTCGAACCTACCTTCATCCCTCATCCCTCGAACCTACCTTCATCCCTCATCCCTCTAACCATCCCTCGAACCTACCTTCATCCCTCGAACCTACCTTCATCCCTCATCCCTCGAACCTACCTTCATCCCTCGAATCACCCCTCATCCCTCAGTATACCACATTGGTTCACATTTGTTCATTATGTGCAATAAACGTTTCTTATTTCATACATGTGATGGCGTGGTCATTGTTAGTGAAACTGCTGTTTGGCAGGACACCACAGGGGGTTCTGGACGTGGTTAATGAAAGCTGGGAGGAAGGTCAGAGCCCAAGTATAAAAGAAGTTCAGTATGTCCTGGACCTGAGAGCAAAACTCCACACATTGGGACAGTTGTCACAGGAGAATCTGCTCAGGGCCCAGGAGCGTCAACAACGCCTGTACAGAGGAACTAGACTTAGACGATTTGCACCGAGAGATAAAGTACTTGTATTACTCCCATCTTCCAGCTCTAAATTACTCGCCAAGCGGCAAAGGCCCTTTGTGGTCACACGGCGAGTGGGTGATGTCGATTATGAGGTTGTGCGTTCTGACAGGAGAGAAGCAACTCAGATTTACCACCTTAATCTCCTTAAAGTGTGGAGAGAGGCGGAGAATGTTTCTATGGTGACCACGGTGAAAGAGAGAGATGACTTGGGGCCTGAGGTACCAAAGTCCACCAATCCTGCCTTGCTCCATTGTGATGACCATCTCACCCTGTCCCAGAGAGCAGACATTGCCGTGTTGCAACAGCGTTTTGCTGATGTGTTCTCCCCCCTGCCAAGACGCACAAGTCTCATACAGCATCACGTTGAGACTCACCCAGGCGTGACGATGCGTTCACAGCCCTATCGGTTACCTGAACACAAAAGAAAAGTGGCTCAGAAGGAACTGAAAGCCATGTTGGAGATGGGAGTAGTAGAAGAGTCCAACAGTGCCTGGTGTCGCCCCATTGCTCTGGTGCTTAAGAAGGATGGGGCTATTGTGTCCACCATCATGGACACTAAAATACTAATCTTGATCTCATGAATTAAGACTTTCTACTTCACTTGTTGAATATTGTAACTGTGTTATCTTGTGACCAGTTAAAGTCATCAGAAATCAGTATTCAGCAGCTTATTTTAAACTAAAATAAATAATCTCCAGAGTATACCCCCTTGCCGCTTTGTATTTCTCTCGGCTCACGCCTCCTTCTCACCTTTTCACCCCCTAACCAGTTTGTGTTGAGACTGAGCTTGTGAACACACATGCAGACACTCCAGGAGACAGGGACTTAATAGGAAACTAGTGTTTATTGAAAAGAGGGGGAGAGGGAGTGCAGACCTGGGCAAGCTTGGGCTGGTGGGTGTGAACCTGGGGCTGAGGGTTGGACTGGAAGCTGGAACCTGTCTGCACTCAGGCAATCACACACACATACAGTTAGAGAGAGGGGGAGAGACACTCGGGGAGTGGCAGCAGGTTAGATAGACTGAATCATCATAGTTTGTATCTCTCACTGTAACCATGGTTTGTGAACTTAATAACAACCACAATGAATCCCAAATGTGTGATTTGACACAACAGAACTGCTTTGTGTAACCTGTAAAAACACATCTGACATCCTTTCATAAGATAACTCATGTATGACGACAACAAGTCAGAAATGAGGCATTTGACAGCATAAATATTAGACTTGGGCAGGTGGTGCCTGATTCCTTTTCAAATGAGCATTAAACTGCTCTGCCAGCTGGCTGTTGATGATAGTGTGCTGCAGATCACTGTTAGCGTTATACACACTTCAACCAGCACACAGTAAAAGTACAGCATTGCTGACCAATGTGGTTCTTCCAGTGGAGCCGGTCTAGGAGGAACCAACTGTGTTTAAAGAATGCTGGAGCACGGTTCAGTGCAAAGCTGTGCAGAAGGGCTGAGGGAGTGCTTGGCTGACATGAGTCCTGTTTTAGACTCCTGGAGACACTATTGGGTTGTGTAAACTCAAATAGAGAGTCACAAGCTCAGGAGCCGGGTGTCACACTGACATGTGAATATATGGAGGACTGCACTTTCCTGTATCCATATTGTTCAATAAGCAGCAGACACAGGTTCATTCAGTTCACAATGATCTGTTGTTTCCATTCCTCTAAGGCACTGGCTCCCAGCCTTTATCCTTCAGGGACACCTTTTCTATCACTGAGTAAACTATATGTTACACATATTTCATATTATATTTAATAATAACAATAACAGCAGAGAACAGCTGATAAACTGAACAATGAACCCAAACAGTGAACACAATAACTGCAGCAAGTTTGTGTAAAACCAGAGATTTGGATGAAGTTTGAGCAGATTATTTCCTTTGAATATTGATCAGAGATCAGTTTTCCTGATATTTTAGGGAACTTTTTATACAATTCTCTGTCTGTATTATGTATTCTTTAGTTATTTAGTAGGTCGGGAGGCCTTCTTGGTTTTATGGGGTGATAGAAAACTTTAGAAAATAAATACAGTAGACATATCTCAGCATTTTTGTTTAATTTGACTTTGAAGACCTGAACACAAACTATATTCACAGAACCTCTGATAAACAGCCTCGTCCTGCATTAAAGAAGTTCAAACAACCAAAGAGCTAAAATAAAAATATATATAACAGTCTTATTGTACATATTTTTTTTTCTCTTTATAATGTTTTTATTTTTGTGCTTTTTGACTTGAAGTCCGTGTTTCCTTTATTTATAGTTTTTAGCACTTTATGTTTATTATGTACAAAGATAACAAGGCAAATTCCTTGTATTGAAAACCTTCTTATAATAAAACTCACTCTGATTCTAATATCTTGTTCTTTACATTTTCTTTAATTAGCAAGTAAATAACAGACTTTAATATCTTCTCACCTCCGATATAAAACTCAGGATGAATGTAATTATGTAACATTAATTGTATTGTTTTCATTGTATTCTGGTGTAATCAACATATTTACTCCTTTAAATTCATTCAAAATGTTTCTGTGACGCCTACAAATGTATAGTCACAACTGTTAAAATGTTTTGTGTATTAGCCAGTGAAAAAGGTCAAATGTTAATGAATCTTTACAAGACATGGGAGTAGTAGTTTTAAAAGTGCAATTTCCCAGTTGTGCCACAAGAGGGAGTGTCCACTTTGGTGAGCGCTAGTAGGGCTGCGTGAGGCTTCTCCTGCACAAAACAGGTTAGTAGTGTGTCATATCTTGTCACAAAGCATTTATAAGGACTTTTTTTATAAGGACTTCATTATGTTGTTTTGACAACGTTTGATGTGTAAAACAGTAGTTTGCTCAGCTAAGAAACTGAGTTTTCCTGCAATGAAATCTTGCTCGCTCCTCTTAATACTTCTTTTATTTCTGGTCCCTGCTCCTTGACATACCCTCTGTCTTGTATTTGTTTTGTCAAAGCTTTGTGAAGTACGGTTGTGTACAGGGGCGGATCTAGAAAAATATTGATGGGGTGGCGAGAGGGAGGCAGGAATTTTTGAAGGGTGGCAACATATGGCAGACGTGTATATATACTGAATTTAATCACAGTTTGATGACAAATAGTATGTACACACTACAAAAGGGCACGGGCTGCCATTTACAAACTCATACAGACAAACTTAATCTCATGCAATCAATGTCTTGCATTTGAGGTTTCATGTGAAACAGTTCATATTAGGAAGAAGTGACCATACAATGTGATCTCACTTAATAGGAGATAGAAGTATGGTAACACTACTGTAGGTGGGGCATTATCACAGGAAAGGCATTAAGGTAAAACACAGGTGATGAGTGGCAGATGTATCAGAGGGGAAGCAAACAGTTTTTGATTGTGTCAGAGAGGCAGCGTTGCAGGCAGCATTTGTACCAGAAGAAACTATCCAAAGAAATACTTACCCATGAAGATCTATGGACTGAGCTGTACTAAGGTGAGCATAAATACACTGTGGAAATAAATGGGTCACGGCACTCAAACAAGGTACTGGACATGACTTTTATTGTTTACTCAGAACACACATTCTCCCCATTTGTCCCTCAGTAGCTTGAACAATTTTTAGACATTTTGTTTACACCATTTACACCAGTGTCACATTTGAAACTTTTCTTTCACACACACACACACACAGAAATTTAAAGTGCAGATTCTGTTGAGGTCATCATTTTAACAGCTTTGTAAAGGCTCACCAGTGAGCATAACATGAAGTTGTCATTCCTATAACAGCTGAATGCGGCGATTTCCATGTTGCTCAGCAAACCGCTTCACAAATGTATCTAGATCTAATGCTTTTGTGCGTTTTGATTCAATGCTGAGTACAGCCAAACTCGATAGTCTCTTTTCTGTCATAGTAGACCGTAAATAAGTCTTTATGAGCCTGAGAGATGAAAAACTTTGTTCACAGGATGCACTGCTCACAGGTAAAACAACCGCTATTTTACACAAGCTGAACAACTCATAAAAAACATCCTCGTATGGTTTCAAAAACTGAGTGAACTCCATTAGAGTGGTAGGACTCTCCTTTTCCCCCTTTTTTCTGTCTAGTACTTGGTGAGAAAAACCTTTCTATGCTACCTTTCCTCTTCATTTCTGTAAAATTCAAAGTAACTTAACAATGTTTTCGTTGACAGACGTTGAATCAATATTAGCTTTTGTAGCCTATTTTACACAGAACTAACGTCAGACCTAGCTAACATTACATGTACAGTTAGCGAAATAACGTTCTTCAACCTGATTTTTATCATCTCAAAATCAGCATTGCAACTACACTGTAACACATTGTTGTAATTTCTACAGTCAAATTTTACAGTAACTTCTTGTTCTGTCATTTTACAAAGTATAACTGTACATGGCAATGCATCATGGGTCCAAAATAATGACAGTAGCTGACAGCATTTTCCCACAGTAACATATTGTAAAATGACAGGCGAGCTGTATTCTGACTGTAGATGATGCGTATTACAGTTAAATACTGTTGATATGGGATTGCATTAAATTGAAAGAGGAGCACGTGCACAGTTGATGTCAGAAACACCGGCCACGAAGTCAGCTCTGTGGTGAGAACAATGTTTTATTTGTGTTATTGACTGTAATTACCCATTATTTTAGCAAAGTGAATCTGAATCTGGTGTACAAGGAGCAAGCAGTCGGGAAATCTCCAACCAGAGTACCTGCTGCCTGAGGCTATGTTGATGCAATTATATTACTACTGGTCAGTAACTCATACAATCTTTTGACAAGAACTCCAAACTATCCCTTTAACCGTTATGACATTTCCACTGTATTAGTCATTGCATTGTAGAGCCACTTCCTGGTTCAGCTTGCCTGGACAGCACAACTGAAATGATAATGAAAAATGATTAACAGCCTAATTTTAGTTTTTTCATGTTTTGCAGTTTTTCATATTGGATGGGCAAATGATGAGCTTGTCTTGAACAACGTGATATTCTGCTCTTTCTTGTGGAGCAGCTGTGAGCGCAGTTTTTTCATGAAGTTTCTTTTCATGTGATTTTGTGATTTCAGATGTTTCATTGGACTCAACCCCATCAGTGGCACCAAGACAGCAAAGCTGGTCAGCCAAAGAAGTGGGAAGATACATGAGAAGAAGAACAGCTCAGTCAATCCTCACGTCTCCTCTCTCCTCAGGCCATTCATGGACTTTGAATGGCTTTGAGCGTAAGTCATATGCAAAAGATGAGGATTCTTGTCTTCCCCACTATATGAGTGGACATTGTTCTTAAAGGGACATTTTGCAGATTTTCAACCATATCTCTATCTATCCGAGTTAGGGATATAGTGTGAATAATGGATTTAGCCGGCGCAGCTGCAAAATCTGTTGTTCTTCCAGCACCAGCCCCAGAGATATGGTGAACATCGGCAACAACAGCAGGCGTTTTTCACATTATATCCCTAACTCGGATAGATAGAGTTAAAGGGATAGTTTGGGTTTTTTGAACTGGGCTCATATGAAGTACTTATCTATAGTCGGTGTGTTAGCTACATTAGCTGCTGCTCAGCGATCCCTCAGTTTGGAGAAGCAGAGAGCTGCTCCAGCACAGACGCTCAGCTTTGCACTGCAGTGAACAGAGTCCAGATGCAAAGCGAATTTTAACCACCTAAAACAATCTATATCAGTTCTAGTGTACGTTGTATAGAGAAAATTCACACCGCTTTACATCTCCGTCAGACGGCCCTTTCCTTTGGCACTACATTTCTCAACCGTATAACTCACGTATTCCTACTAGTGATGGGTCGGTCCCGAACGATCCGGCTCTTTGAAGTGAACGACGGGAGCCGGCTCCTGATTGGGAGCCAGATCCGGATTTTTTCCCCGTTTTTCCTCATTTTTTTCTGTTAAAGCTGCGTGATTGGTCAAGATGTGTGGCGGCGTCTGTGTATCTACACTGAGGAGCAGGAGGGTGGCGGGAGGGGTTACAGACACACACGGCACAGTGAGCATGTGAACAGGTGGGAGGGAGACGTGACAGAGCGAGAGAACTTGCTACATAGACAGAGACTACACACTGGAAAGGTGAGGAAAATGAGAATGACAGAAAATGTAGTAAAGTTTGGACATATATGTATATATGTGATAGACGCTTCAAAGGCAGAGTGTAGACTGCATAGTTAAAAATGTCATATTGAGCAGCTTTTTGTCTAATTGAGATGGGTCTTTGTTTTTGTATTTTAAAATTCCATGTTGAGTATATTAATAAATCCATATAAATAATAAACATTTGATATAATGTATGTATTTACATTAGATATTCATTTTACACATCATTTTGTAATCAATTCATTTAAGTAACAAAAAATCTGAGGAGCCACTTGGGAGCCGAAAGAGCCGGCTCATTTTAGTGAGCCGAGCCAAAAGAACCGGTTCTCTAAAAAGAGCCGGAATTCCCATCACGTATTCCTACGCATACGGCATAATACGGTGCGGCCGCAGCGGGCAAAGTTGCGCTTATGCGAAGGAATACGTGAGTTATACGGTATAAGGGCCGTCTGACAGCGATGTAAAGCGGTGTGAATTTTCTCTATACAACGTACACTAGAACTGATATAGATTGTTTTAGCTGGTTAAAATATGCTTTGCATCTGGACTCCGTTCACTGCAGTGCAAAGCTGACCTATTCGCTATCTGGTGGACAGTTAGATGAGAAGATCGATACCACGTCCATTAAAGGCACATAACGCACAGTAAAAAGGTTAAAAGTGAGATTTAAAGGTGCTAGTAGGCAGATTTTGTTACTTTTGGACCAAGCCAGGCTAGCTGTTTCCCCGTTTCCAGTCTGTGCTTAATTAGGCTAACCAGTTTCTGTCTGAAGCCTTATATTTAACAGGCAGATAGGAGAGTGCTATTCATTTCTCAATAATAATTGAGAAATGAATACCATACCATTTATGGGGATTCGAATTGAGTTCTGAAGGCATGTTGTAAAACTATTGAGTTTTAATAAAAGATGTTTTGTTGCAGCTCTGACTCTGGTTTTATTTAACAGGTGAAGAAAATCTAATGTTGATGAATTTTGGAGTAACAGCAAGCCTGGTCTCATTCAATATGCATATTTTGCAAAGCTGCTAATGTGAAAAAGAAAAATGAACAGTAAAAACATTCTACAACAACATATTGTATTGTGAAGTATTAACAGCTATTTACTGGCAACTTTAGTTGCCAGGTAACCTCTGTAATTTGAATAGAATACAAGATAATGTTGTAAACTAGATTTTTCCAAAAAAAAAACAACAACAACAACAAATTGCTGTAATTTATATTCAACAAAAACCTGTAAAAGTGATCCTGTAACATACTGTAATCCTTTTTACAGTAATTAACAGCAATTTTACTTTACTGGCAACTTTTTCTGCCAGCTATTTACTGTAAATTCTACAGTCAATGTGTTACAGTGTATGCTCGCACTGTGCTTTCATTATAATTCAATTTATTGATCGATAGTTAATAAGTTTTTACCTCTTTCCTCCCGTCTCTCCTGTCCTCGCGACTCCTGGCTCCCTCGCTTCGCGCCACTCAGTGTTTCCAACCAATCAGTGTCTTGCCGGCCGCTCTGACGTTATCTCGTGCTGCATTCAGTGCAGTCGGACATTGGAGATTCACGCTCGTAAATGTCAAAGCCGTAACTTTTCTTTTAATTCGTTGCTGCCAACTGGGGTGGCAGCAGGGGTGGCAAGGCTTTCTTTTAGGGTGGCACTTGCCACCCTATGCCACCCCGGTAGATCCGCCCCTGCACAAGTTGTGTAAAGTTGTTAAGTCGTTCATCTAAGTCATGTTACCAGGATAATATAATAATAATAATAATAATAATAATAATAATAATAATAATAATAATAATAATATATAGATCAAATATTTTGGTAAAGTTAAAAAGGGCAAAGGTATTTTTGTAATGATGGCCTGTTATTGTTATGTATACTTTGTGTTTAAGAATTTAGTAAAAATGTGAACAGCTTGGGCTTAAAAGTATTAATGCTACTGTAAATGTGGTGTTGGACCTAAATAGCAGTCACTGTTGGTGAACAATGGTACAAATTAGGAGTTTGAATTTGATTTCTGTTTCATTCAGCAGTCATTTTGTACATTTGTAAAATGTCAGTCCAGTGGGTTAGTATATGAACCTTAAAGCTTGATGTCATGTAAATTGCAAAATGAAGATTGTTGTGAACAAAACACTAAGTTGGTTTAAATGAAGTGAAAAAGAAAGATTCTGTTAAATAAAAACAGAGAACAGCCTGCTGAGCGATCACAAGTAACGTCTCCTGTCTCTGCTTTTCCTGCACAAAACAGGATACTATACCTGCTTACGGGTAACTCATGCTTGAGGCCTGTAACATTTTGATAGTTGTTTTATGATTTAATAATCAGTGAGTAACTTTTGGATGTTTTTCTTCATGTTGCCATCTTGAGCTGTTTTTCCTCTTTGTACAGGAAGAGAAGTTAGACACAGTGAATCTTTTACTCCTTTCCAGTCAGTTTTTATCCATTTGAATTTGACATTTTCAGTGTGTGAGTGGAGAGGACTACAACTGCATGTTATTGTGCAATCCTGTGTTGTATAATGACAATAAAACAGAACTTTAAACCCTCGATAACCCCTCCCTCTTCTTCCTGATTCAAACACAGCGAGCTACACTCTGTTCATGTATTTCCTTGTTCCCTCCCCTTCAGATCTACAGTTTGTAGATGGGTGTAACCAACATGAGCAAGAGCTGACAGGCCCCATTCACTGCAGAGACACATGTTGTTGAGATCAGAGCTCAACCCGGCCTCATTTATAAGGAAGTGAAACTCAGACAGTCGTTGTCACTGAGAGGTGAAATGGCGCAGAAAGGAGTTCAGCTGGACCGAGAAACCTTCTCTTGTTCCATCTGTCTGGATCTACTGAAGGATCCGGTGACTACTCCCTGTGGACACAGCTACTGCATGAACTGTATTAAAAGCTACTGGGATGAAGAGGATGAGAAGAAAATCCACAGCTGCCCTCAGTGTAGGCAGACCTTCACACCGAGGCCTGTCCTGGTAAAAAGCACCATGTTAGCAGTTTTAGTGGAGGAACTGAAGAAGACTGGACTCCAAGCTGCTCCTGCTGATCTCTGCTATGCTGGACCTGAAGATGTGGCCTGTGATGTCTGCACTGGGAGAAAACTGAAAGCCCTCAAGTCCTGTCTGGTCTGTCTGGTTTCTTACTGTGAGAAACACCTCCAGCCTCATTATGATGTGGCTCACTTTAAGAAACACAAGCTGGTGGACCCCTCCAAGAAGCTCCAGGAGAACATCTGCTCTCGTCATGATGAGGTGATGAAGATGTTCTGCCGTACTGATCAGCAGTGTATCTGTTATCTCTGCCCTGTGGATGAACATAAAGGCCACGACACAGTCTCAGCTGCAGCAGAAAGGACTGAGAGGCAGAGAGAGCTCGAGGTGAGTCGACAAAACATCCAGCAGAGAATCCAGGACAGAGAGAAAGATGTGAAGGAGCTTCAACGGGAGGTGGAGGCTATCAATCGCTCTGCTGATAAAGCAGTGGAGGACAGTGAGAAGATCTTCACTCAGCTGATCCGTCTCATGGAGAAAAGAAGCTCTGATGTGAAGCAGCAGGTCAGATCCCAGCAGGAAACTGAAGTGAGTCGAGTCAAAGAGCTTCAGGAGAAGCTGGAGCAGGAGATCACTGAGCTGAAGAGGAAAGACGCTGAGATGAAGAAGCTGTCACACACAGAGGACCACACCCAGTTTCTACACAACTACCCCTCACTGTCAGCACTCAGTGAATCTACATCCAGCATCAATATCCGTCCTCTGAGGTACTTTGAGGATGTGACAGCGGCTGTGTCAGAGCTCAGAGATAAACTACAGGACCTTCTGAGGGACAAATGGACAAACGTCTCACTGACAGTGACTGAAGTGGATGTTTCACTGTCACAACCAGAGCCCAAGACCAGAGCTGGATTCTTACAATATTCACGTGAACTCACACTGGATCCAAACACAGCATACACACAGCTGTTATTATCTGAGGGGAACAGAAAAGTAACATTAATGAGTCAACAACAGTCTTATTCTAGTCACCCAGACAGATTCACTGGATGTGTATCAGGTCCTGAGTAGAGAGAGTCTGACTGGACGTTGTTACTGGGAGGTGGAGAGGAGAGGGGATGGAGTTGGTGTAGCAGTCGCATACAAGAATATCAGCAGAGCAGGGAGCTCATATGAATGTGTATTTGGATACAATAACAAATCTTGGTCATTATATTGTGACAATAACAGTTATAACTTTTGGTACAACAATGTCAAAACTCCTGTCTCAGGTCCTCAGTCCTCCAGAGTTGGAGTGTATCTGGATCACAGTGCAGGTATTCTGTCCTTCTACAGCGTCTCTGAAACCATGACTCTCCTCCACAGAGTCCAGACCACATTCACTCAGCCTCTCTATGCTGGACTTAGGCTTTATTACAGTTTTGGAGACACTGCTGAGTTCTATAAACTGAAATAGACAGAAGTCATTTCAGGGACTTTGTGTTAAACTCTGAGTTTGAATCCTTAAACTGATTTTGTCTTCATGTTTGTTGCTGAGAGCTGATTGTTGTGGCGTTTCTTCACTGCACAGAGATCAGCTGTCAATCAAACATTGTGGGCGGTACTTTGACATCTTCTCATTAGTTGTCCTGTAAATGTTTGAGTGTGTTTAGGTGGCGCTCCTTCCTGTGTCTGTTCAGCCATACATTTTTTGGTGTAGTAATATTTATTAGGTTAACTGTCACAATTGTTATTTTCTAATTGTAAGTATCAGTGAGAACTGGAATTATTCAAGTAAAACTATATATGTCTTTCATGTAATAAATAAACTGTGTGGGAAGAGTAAGTTTTATTGTGTATTTTCACATAATATTCAAAGGTTTCATAGTCATTGCCCATGAACTTAGAAATACCAAGTAAGTTTTAATAGTGTTTGTAATAGTGTTTTGAAACCGGGACTGACTGTATAATTAATAGTTCGCTAGATGCTGTGGATAAATGGCGGGTTTGCCAAAATGATGAGTTTCCTTCGCATAATGAACTCAAGGCAACGACAGAGTACACAACCGCTACACATAGGAGGGGAAGGGAGGAGAGAAAACGTTTCAAATATCCGCAGCGTCGGTTTGGAGAGCCTCTACCAGACCTCACCAAAACCCTGCTGCTAATCATTATTTAAGCTAAAGAGGAAGCTATGGTTTTTGTTCATTTGCAGTGTACTCGTAGTTTGCCACAAATCTAAAATCTTACTGAGACAGAGCAAACAGAGGTCAGGAGAGATGTTCATTCCCACAAAATGTCACTCAGTTTATCAGGATAAATATGATTTCATTTATTGGCATTTCAGATTTGTTTCTTACTGTGGCTGTATATTTTTATTCCATATATGAAAATACTTTATGTGTCTTATTTCAACTAAAAGAACCACCACTTGTAGAAATGATGCACTTTCCATCTTTTTGAGTTGTTATAGAGCTACTGATGAGCCTTAAGTATCTGAAATTCAGATTCATTTGTGGAAATTGGAAAAAATTCAAATGATCTATCCAAAAACATTTCCTGTGATCATTTTCTTCCACATGCTTCATAAGGACCATCACCTTGTTTGGATCCCTTTCTTTCTAATCCCCTCGTCTATATTTTGCTCATAATTTGATATGAAGCCTCATTGTTCTCTATTCTGATTCCGTTTACACTGTTTCAATTTGGATTCTGCATTATTCTTGATGCATATGACACAGCTCTCTCTCAACAACGTGAATCTAGACCAGCAATGCTCTTGGAGGAGAGGAACAGAATCACAGCGGCAAAAATGCAGGATTTTCTTCATTTAAGATTTAACACATGTGGAAATGGGTGTAATGTTTTAGATCAGAGCCATATTTTCAAATATTATCCAAAATACATTGGTTTGACAGTGGTACAGTTCATTTTGGTTACATGATCCTCTAGTTTTAATGTAGTATTTCTTGTAGTATTCTGTAGTTTTAATGTATTATTTTGTCTTTGTGTTTTTGTCCTTAAGCCCAAAGCAACAACTTTGTACAGTTGACACAGTGCCATCTCAAACAGCAACTACAGCAAGCTGTGTCACAAGAAAAGCCATCTGGCTATTCAGGTAAAAACAAAATTGTGTAGTGCTTTGCAATTCATAAGTTGTAAGAGGTTTACCATCATCACAGAATATACATACTATTCCAAATGAAAATGAAGCAGAATATGTACTATGCACCTGAACATGGATTCACATATATTTTACAGGATATCAGCAGAGAGGAAGTTCAAGAGGACCAGGCTGAGCAAGTCCTGAGGATCTGTGTCTTCCACACAAGTGAAGAAGATGAAGGTGCATCCGACACTGATGTGTCCATTGTTATTGAAGGGACTGAGGTACTTGACAACTATGGAAGTGTTACAAAGGCCTGTCTCCTGCTCATGAGCATCATTTATGCCATGAATTTGAGTTACCCCCCAAAAACAAAGTACACTTTGGAAGTTTTTCAAAAGCTTCTTCTAGAGCTTGATGTCCTTAAGCTGTCCCCGAAAATCCTGTCTCTGCGAAACAAACTTGAGTCTGAGTGCACATGTATACGGCACAGTTGTTAATGTGGCTATTTGTCTATTTTCTTATTTTTCTCTCGTTTTAATGATGTCATTTTTATTTGAACTTGTTGCACTGTATTAAATACTGTATGTGGCCATGTGGAGTGGCTACGTTTTGGGGACAAAAGAAAAGAAGTTAGATCAGCATTTTCAAGTTAAACCAGAGGTTCTCAACTGGTGGCTCGTGGGGCCATTTTTAATGGGTCACGGATGTGAGTGTGGGCATGAAAAGAGCGAGGGGCCAAATATCGCACTTTTTAGTGTCAAGATGCTCTGCTTTTTGTAGGATATTACTCATGATACAGAAACAGATGGGCTTTAGAACCTCAGAGCAAAACACTGTTCTTTAAGATAAAAAGGAATAGTAAGCATGTCTTTTAAGATGCACCAGCATGTCAAATGTTTTCCAGAGTTTAAGGTTAAAAAGCCTCTCCAAACGATAGGCTACGTATGCTCTATGCAAACAGTTCCTGAACTTGTCCTTGTGCCTTTAACAAGCTACCTCAAACCCATTTTAGCCACCCTAAGATGAAATTTCTGTCATCGTCTACTCACCCCGATGCCGATAGAAGGACTCATCATGCTCTTCTGGGAGTTTGCCGAGATGTTTGTTTCTCACAAAACTGCATTGAACGGCAACTTGGCTTCAAACATCCAAAAAATGTCTCCATATTGCTCATCTGAAGTAATCCAAGTGTCCTGCAGCTTACACATTCCTAGATGTTTTGAAAAACAGAACAAAATTGTGTTTTGGCTTTGTTTGCTCTGCTTTGCTTCCACTGTGGTGCTGCGTGAACACGGATGGGCTAGCTGGAAGTTAGTAGTGTGTAAGTTTGTGTGCGGCGTTGGAAGGAGCACGCATTGGAAGAGCAGCAGAGCAAACACAGCTGAAAACACAAGTTTGTTATGTTTTGTACAAACGTCTTGGCATGTGTGAGCTACAGGACACTTGGATTACCTCAGACAAGCAGTATGGAGACATTTTATTGATTATTGATGTATTTTTGGACTTTTGATGCTAAGATACCGCTCACTGCAGTTGAGTGGAAAAAAGGTCTCTCAAACTCGCAGAAGAACACGGATGTTAACAAAACTTCACCAATCCTTCTATTGACAAAGGGGTGAGTAAATAATAACAAAAAAATCATCTTAGGGTGAACTATACCTTGTTGTTGTTTTTGCCATGCAAACTTGCTGGAAAATGTTTTATTGAAAAAAAATATTTTTCACTTAAGAAAAATAAATGGGTTGTTAAATTAAACAGTTTTTTTTTTAAAGTCATTGTTTCAATAAACAAAAACATTAAGAACAAATTTAGGCAATTTAAACTGCAGAAAAATGATGTAAAATGTTGTGTAAATGTTACTTAAATATAGTCCATAAATAAAAGTTAGACAAAGTATTTAAAAATGACCTTGAAAAGCCATTGGTTTTAGGTGAGATTGTTCAGTTTGAAGCAGTCAGAGTTGAAGTAAAACGTACAAAGAATGAGAGAGTAAAATTCAATAACCATATTAATAAACATCAGTAAATTACCTGAGGTTTGCTAGTAAAAGAGACTTATATCTGCGAGTAAAGTTTACTTGAAGATTGCCCTTGTAGAATTTACTTACAATTTCTAAGTGCAAAAACTTTCCTAGGTTTTTCCAAGTAAATATCACTCCAAATGTTTTTCAGTGTAGAGGTTATCACTGCTCATGATGGCTTTTGTTTAGCTGATCTGACATTTCTCTGCTCTCTAAATACATATTATATATATATATTATATTTGTGTTGATGTATTTGTATGTTGTTGTTTCTCTTTCACTGCATAGATCCTTAAATTTAAAGCAGCAGACCTTCCTTTATTGTAGATAGTTTGTTCTTATCATTTTCTTAAGAAATCTGTAATTACATTTATTACATTATTTTAACATTACAATTTGCTAGAGGACATTTGTAGTTGTTGTCTATGTACAAATGAGGAAATGTGAGGTGTTACACAAATGTAATCAACATGATCATAATCAATAAAGAGATAAACAGCTGCTGTGCTCAAGAGGTTTGTATTTGATCCTCAATTTGAAACAAAGAAATGCATCTAAAAGAGTGGTGATCAGGGTTCCTGTAACTGTGATTGATTTACTGCAGCATCACAGGTAAAGTTACTCCACCTTTGTCCAGTACTGAAGTATTAAGCATCAATGACAACGTCAGATTGATTTAGTAAATCAAGCATCAAACTATTTTAAACACAGCCTCCTGTAGCTTCAGTTACTAGCTGAGTAAAAAGTAAAGCACTCTGTGTGGGTCCACATTTACATGAAGCACCGAGGGAGCTCATTGGATTAAAAAAGTCCGTTTCAATTTAAAGTGTGAGCCGCTGTGAGGTGGAAGAACTGCCTTTATGAGTGGAAGTGAAGCTGTGGCTAACTGTGGGGGGAAACTGAGACTCTTGTGAGGGTAAAGAGCAGCAGGTCGGTGACTTTGTGCTGATTTTATACTTAAATATCTCAGTGGTCCCTGAAGGCAACAGTCTGTGTGTTCATTTAGTCACAAAGCAGAATGTGATAATAAAATGTTGTCTTATAGATCAGCTGTGATTCTGATAACATGCTCTTCTACTGCTACTACCTTTACTACGACTACTGTATGACTGCACATCATTTTTATTACAGTAATAATGATCAATATTATGTATCTGTCACTTTGACCAAGTGGCCAGTGACATTAAAGAATAGTAGTTTCCCAGCATGCTCTGTGTTGTGCTGCTGCTGCTGTTTCTGTTGTGTTTGACTGGTCCTCGCTCAGAGGCCGAGGTGCGTTCACTGACCTGGTTCAATGATAACAGCAGTGATGACTGATTCACTGATGTCTGTCTGTGTGTGTCTGGCTCCACCTGCTGTTTCTTATTTTAATTACAGAGGACAATCTACACTGAGGAACTTGTGCACTCTTTTTATTATTTCCCTTCACTACAAAGAGTCTCTGTGATACAACATTGATATGGTGAGATACTGCAGTACTACTTCTTGTCAAACACTATCAGTACACTGCACCAAGTATCTATGTTTCTATTGCACACATGCTCTCAATCTGTGCTTGGACCCCCTTTCTATCATTGAGTAAACTAAGTGACATATTTTATGGATCATTCATGTTATATTCAATGCATAACAGTAAGAGTACAGAACAACTGATACACGGTACAATAACCACAGTGAACACAATAACTGCAGGAAGTTTGTGTAAAATGAGCAGTTTGGAGGAATTTGGAGCAAATTATTTCCTTAATTTAAGAGATGAGTTTTCCTGATACTTTTATGAACTTTTTATACAATCCTCTGTCTGTATTTAGTATTTTATTGATTTTTAACTGTCAATTAATAGACTTTTGTTTAACAAATTCAGTGTTTTCTTCTCCCTGATGCCACTGTTCTATCAGCTCTTTGGGTGTTTTAACTGCGTAGACTACTTTTCTAATGCAGGACGAGGCCATTTAGCAGAGATATTTGAACCAGTAGCCTCAAATCCCCAAATAGTATTTTCAACATAAGAGTTGAATAATAATTGTAATCTCTTCTCTACAATCTTTTCCCACGTGACCTGAATGCAGCATCAGACTGTGACTCCTGTGAGCACACTGACAAAGGAAGATACACAAGAGGGCGCCTTCATCCTGCTAACCAGGGATGTAATGGAGGTTAAAGCACCTCAACTCACTTTGTCTCCACTTTTAGTTCAGAACATGTTTTTATGACAATAAAAGATTTATAGTAAAAGTTCATTGTGTCATACATGGTGACAAACGGTGTCCAACCAGTAAAAGTGCAGATACAATCTCTGTGTGGCTTCTTTAAAAATAGATTCAGTTCTCTGTGTGAAGTTAAGGTGGCCATCAATCACAGTTCCAACATATTTCAAACTACTGACAGTTTCTACAGTGGATCCAGTGAGCAGAGCCGGTCCTGACCTCCCTGGGGCCCGGAGCTAAATTCTGCCAGGGGGCCCTCCTTCCTGACCCGTAAACCCTGTTAACTATTTGCCACACAGTCCCTCAGTGCTCCCACTACAATTGGGTTGTTTGCTCCATCTTTCAGAGTGAGAATCAGTAGATCTATACAGAACAGAATGAGGAATAAACAAACTATATTTATTCAATAGAATATGTTCTATAGAATATTAATGGAATATTAACACTGTAGACAATATATATGTAGAATATAATACAAATATATATACTGTTTTTAATTCATCTTTAGTGTTCTCCAATGTCGGTAAATATTATTATAACACTGATCCTGGATCAGCATTTAAATGTACCTTTGAGTTTATTGTAAGGTATTCTTATTATACTGCAGTGGAGAACAGAGTGACACATCTCAAACCATCATGGACACAAAAATACTAATCTTGATCTCATGAATTAAGACTTTCTACTTCACTTGTTGAATATTGTAACTGTGTTATCTTGTGACCAGTTAAAGTCATCAGAAATCAGTATTCAGCAGCTTATTTTAAACTAAAATAAAGAATCTCCAGAGTATACCCTCTTGCCGCTTTGTATTGTCTCGGCTCACGCCTCCTTCTCAGCTTTTTACCCCCTAACCAGTTTGTGTTAAGACTGAGCTCGTGAACACACATGCAGACACTCCAGGAGACAGGGACTTAATAGGAAACTAGTGTTTATTGAAAAGAGGGGGAGAGGGAGTGCAGACCTGGGGAAGCTTGGGCTGGTGGGTGTGAACCTGGGGCTGAGGGTTGGACTGGAAGCTGGAACCTGTCTGCACTCAGGCAACCACACACACATACAGTTAGAGAGAGGGAGAGAGACACTCGGGGAGTGGCAGCAGGTTAGATAGACTGAATCATCATAGTTTGTATCTCTCACTGTAACCATGGTTTGTGAACTTAATAACAACCACAATGAATCCCAAATGTGTGATTTGACACAACAGAACTGCTTTGTGTAACCTGTAAAAACACATCTGACATCCTTTCATAAGATAACTCATGTATGACGACAACAAGTCAGAAATGAGACATTTGACAGCATAAATATTAGACTTGGGCAGGTGGTGCCTGATTCCTTTCAAATGAGCATTAAACTGCTCTGCCAGCTGGCTGTTGATGATAGTGTGCTGCAGATCGCTGTCAGCGTTATACAACACTTCAACCAGCACACAGTAAAAGTACAGCATTGCTGACCAATGTGGTTCTTCCAGTGGAGCCGGTCTAGGAGGAACCAACTGTGTTTAAAGAATGCTGGAGCACAGTTCAGTGCAAAGCTGTGCAGTAGGGCTGAGGGAGTGCTCGGCTGACATGAGAAGAGATAATTTACTTTTAACGAGTATCAAACGTGTAAAATGTGTCTGTATTTCAGAAAATATAGCAACTTTTATTTAAAAAAAACTGTAAATAGTTCTGTGACTCTAGTGAGACAAAAACATTGGTCTGATCTAAATTCTGAGGATGTTCTTGAGTTTTCTTTTATTATTTTAACACAAGAAACAAAATACAGAACAACAGGACAAAGACAGAAAGAATGTGTACAGAACAGAAGAGTAAAGACAGACATTTGTCAGAAAATAAAAGAACAACGTGGGTGTTAGTGGCTCTGTGGTTTGCTGATATGGGACGGTTAGGGTTTGTGCGTGCGTTCAAACTCTCAGTCTGGGTGGCACAAAAAGACTCTGAGGAGGGTGGCTGTTTGTTGGGGATTGACAGTCAGAATATGTTGTGTTATTGGTTGAGAGAGGAAAGTGAGGTGACCCGGCGTACCTTCCCCGTGCTGCACCCTCAGGAAGGAACAGTCACAGCTCCTTGGATGAAACACAAGAGATGAGGCAGTGCACCACCAAATAAAACTCTAAATGAAAGGTGAAATAGAAACTGAAAAGCTTACCATGAATGCAGAGCGGTGTACAACCGAGGAGCATCCTTTCTTCATGTCCTTGCCCTCTCTTTCCCCCTCTGCTCTGCCTCATACAGCCCTTGGACCTGCAGGGGAGGAAGGAAGAGAAAGTAGATTCCATCAGGAAGCTGGTTGGTTTCCTCCTCTCCATGCTCCTCCTCAGTGAATGGTGGACACAGTGCTCTCATCACATCAGACACTTGTATAATATTGTCCATTGTCAGGAGGGTCTGTGCAGTGTGGTCCACCTCAGGTTTTTGGTGGAGAAAAGTAGATGCCAGATGGCCTTGGCCATCTCCAGTGTGTCCCTCCCTGTCCATGCAAAGGAAAAGGGGGGAAAGGACACTGAAAAAAACAACTGGTAAGATTTACTTAATATAATCTCTGTAACAATGTTTAAGTAAATATTACTGCTGAAATATCAAGTACAACTCAGTTGCCAGTATCAAGTCAAATTTACTCACCACTCAACTAAACTTTAGTAAAAATATAAAGTAAATGTTGTTTAATTATTTCTACATTACAAGTTATATTTAGTTTAACTGAGTAAAGTCAATTATATATTTTCATATACGAGACATTGCTGTCATAAAAATATAAAGTAAATCTTATATATCAGTGATATTTACTGTGATGAAGTCAATAAGTACATTTTATTACATTTATTCTGTTTGACATTTTAAATTCCTTCTATGTCTGCAGATATATTATTCACTACAATTATGTAAATGTGATTTTGTTTTGATGAATTTGACCAAATCAATGTAATCATTTTCTCTATGCATATACTTTTACCACAAAGCAGCAACTGAAATACAATATATAATGAAATGTTTTATTTTGTTATTAACACCAATGAATCACTAACATTAACATTAAAATTGAAATGTACAATTCAACTGTGTAACATGCATTCAAAGTGAAGCAGCAGCCAAAAATATAACATGGCATTAATGAGAAACACATGCATATTCCCATTGATATGCTCTTGCTCTGTTGAAAACGTTTGGAAAAAAATGAAATAAAAATATCATTGTAATTACAGTATACACTGCATTTCTTTAGTTTTCTCCCCAAGATACATAAAGAACAATAAAAGGCCATATCACATGACAAGAAGAAGGTGCTTTTTTAAATATTCAGTTAAAACCTTACAACAGTGCAAATTCACACTTTCAATTCTACTTTACTCTGATGATTCTGACATATGTGAGAAGCACAAGGTAACATGTATCTACTGGGTGTTGGCTGATGTTCCCTCTATGAAGGTGTACATCATCAATGTATGTAGTTGTTTTGTATAAGGCAGATGATGTTAAGAAATGGAGTTATCCTTGAGTGAGAGGATTTGTGCTGTGTGTGCATTCATATTGGGAAGAGTGCGTGTGGTAAAAAAAGGGAGACAGAGCAGAGAAAAAGCACAATTTTTACCAAACACACCTGACTCAGTTTGTCCAAGAATGGCCTCAGCTTGGTCCCCACGACTCCTCCCTTGGTCTTCATCAGACCGTTTCCCATTCATTCTCTATGGTAGTGCTAAACCACTACGGATGTAATGCAGAAGTCAACTACTCCTGACATTTGGATTTATTGTCTTCAAACTACAAACTTCAGAAGGTCAGTAACGTTTGTGATAAACACCAGATAAAACATTACTTATATGTACTTTGTGTCGGGGAATTTCTGAGTTTTTAGGTTGAATCACGATGTTTGTAGTTTGTCTCTGATTCATTTAAACTACAAGGCGGCAAAACTCTCTGACGTCATTACAAACAGTCGGTTTATGCTTTTGATTTTCGCGCCACACTTGGACACGTGTTGTTTCTTTACATGGTTTCTTTTGTCTTATATATTTTATTAATGTTTAATTAAGTAATTGTTTTCTTACATTTATTTCTGTTTTAATATCTTATATTATATTAAATATATCTTCAGTAGTCATTTTAAAATGTTACTCGACGTCATTGTAAATGGGGACCAGCCCTGAGTGATATTTTACTTTAAATACCTAAAGTTATATATTAAAGGTATATATTTAAGGTTTATATTTAAGGTTTATATTAAAGGTTTATATTAAAGGTATATATTTAAGGTTTATATTAAAGGTATATATTTAAGGTTTATATGAAAGGTATATATTTAAGGTTTATATTTAAGGTTTATATTTAAGCCCATCTGGTGCAGAAATTCAGAAAAAAAGTAATGATTTTGTACATTTTGGATCACTTCAGGAAAGCTCAAACATTTATAGGCTAAAATAATTTAATGTATCCTGTTTTATTGTTCTTAAAGGTCAAAAAGTTCCCCATTAGTATCTAATGTTTAAGAAGAAGTAGATGTTTAATATATAAAAATATGTTTCCCACATACTGTATGTCACAGGCCAGCATGGAAAAAGCTTTCAGTTTCTTTCCTGTGAGGATGGAAGTTGTTTTCCGTAAAGGGACCTTGAGGTTCTCTGTGTCAGGATCCAACTGAAGCAGCTTCTGAAGGACAACCCTTCTCTGCAGGACGAGTGTGCAGCTCTAAAGGAGGACACAGTTAAACTAAATGCCCTGACTGTGGTCCTTCAGAGAGGAGGGGGTGCCACAGACAACACAGAGGTGCTGGGGGGGATTACATCTTGCAGTTTAGCAAATACAAGGGGAAATCCTTCAGGTGGCTGTTGGACAATGATGTAGGCTTTACAATCTACCTCATCAACACACCCAGAAAGAAGAGGCTGCCAGAGTAAACATGACTGAGGGGCACAGCGAGGCCAGCATGGCATCTTTTGTGGGTTCTGCCCGCAGCTATGATGAAATACAATTAAAACCCAAAGCTGGAGCAGCCTCAGAGGACGAGCAGCTGGTTGGCTTTGGTTGTGGACCAGAGAGCAGCTGGAGGGAGGTGTGGGACAGGAGGGCTGACGGCTACGCTGCCTTCATCATGAGAACTAAGTGTTTTCAGGGACTCAGATGTACAGACTGCAGCAGTAGCTGATAAGGAAACAGTCGGCCTCTGTCTCCTCTTCATCAGTTCCTGCCTCAAGTGCACCTGATGAAGACACCAGTAGGTCTTCTTCATCACATGTAACATATGCTTTTTACCACAATAATGTATGTCTAATGTAGAAATACATTTTTACAGCACTGTAATTCTTTATGTTTGTGTCACAGTGATGGATGATGACGATGAGGAGCTGGGAGAGAGCGATGAAGAGCATATCACCCACCAAGGAACTGGCACAGTGTTGTAAGTACATTCTTTCTTCTACTGACTGAACATTCAGAATCACTTTAGTCTCAAACAGTGTTCTTAAACGTGACGTTTGCTGTACTGTTTCATCTGTTTGTGTGTTATTTATGCCATGTGGAAATATTAGTAATACTTCATACATTTACTGATGAATGCTTTTGTCATCCGGTTGTTGTTCTGTCCTTGTAGTCCCACCGTGCCGACAGTGAAGAGACCTGTAACCATTCCTCCTGAGCTGCAGGTTCTGGTGACAGAGGTTGCTCATCCCAACAAACTGAGTTCTTTCAGCGTGAACTTCAGCTAACCGAGCGCAGAGTGGAAGACAGAGCGGAAAAGAAGAGGAAACTGCCGGACCCTCAGCCTCGAGGAACAATGTGTCGTTTCTGTCACACAGCACTGAAGCAGGGTCCAACCAGCAGACACACACACACACACACACACACACACACACACACACACACACACAACAACTGATTAATCTGATTGATTTAGTTGTTTCCTTGTATATATTTATAATTGATTATTGGATATAAAACTGATTGATATGTTGTTTATTCTTGTTTTAGCACTCTCTAAACTGCACTGAAGACACGTGTGGACAGATTTAATAAAACAATGACTTTTAGCACAGAACTTGTTTCACTTGATTTCATCTATAAAGCTCTGGTCAGCTCATTTCCATTATGAATAATAGTATTTAATTCATCTTTGAATGCAAAAGAATATCAGTCTTTATGACAAATATAATTCACTATAATATTACGTATTATATTGATACTATAATTGTTCCATAAAATTCTCAATACATAAATACAAAAAGGATTTTCATACTTTAGACTGAAGTTATGTAGATTTGAATGTAACTTGTGACATTTTGAATAAATAGTGCAGCAGTTCAGTACCATGGACAGCGGACCATAAAATCGTGCAGTTTCATTGGCTGTCAGCGTGTTACAACTATCCACGGCTGGCCTCTCGCTGTGAGGGGACGGTGCTAACCTCTAAGCCATCACGCTGCTTCTCTGCATCCTTGTGTCTCCTTTATCCTGTTCATTCGCTTCCCACTGGAACCAGCAGAGCCAGTCGGCCCTATATGCTCACTAGACTTTATGCGTAGGAGCCTGCAAATCACGTAGGGGCCCCGTCTCCCCTCCATGTGTCAGTGGGTGTCATAACATGTGTTCATATGGGCGGGCACCAAATGAAAGTGGCACTCTCCAGCAGCAACCTGTGTGCGGACCAGTCCAGACAACCTGTGGGTGTGATGGCACTCATACTCACACATCATTTTCAAACTAGACAATGATTATTTAGTCTCTCAGTGGAGGTTCAGTTAGAGCTCTGAACTAATGCAAGATGGAAAGCAATGGATTGACACTGGATTTAAAATGTTGATTTGCTGGGCACACTGGGCCAGATGGATCCATATCTCTCAGTAAATAAGAACCATCAAATATTCAACCAAACCATGTAGTGTTTTAGTTTTTAAACGTACAGAAGGAAACCTGGGGGGTCCAGTTTGATGCAGTTAGTGTGAGACTTCCAGCCACAGGCTCACATGTACATTGAGCCAAAGCTAATTGTATAATATTGTGAGGACTGGACTCATTTACAGGCAGCAGAGCCAAAGCTAAATGTTGTATTCTCTTATTTTTCATAGAAATATAATTTGCAATTTCTTGTAGTAAATATTGACTCATATTAAGATTTTATAGAACATATTCTATTCAGTAAATATTGAATGTACCTGATTGTGTTCTGTATAGATCTACTTATTGTCAGCGACCGACAGATGGAGCAAACTGGGTTGTAGTGGGTGTTGAGTTGAGCTGCAGGCCGCGCCCCTCCCTGCCTGAGTGCATCAGGTGTGGGTGTGTCTCCCAGCCTGAAGGCAGCAGACTGAGTGCACCAGGTGTGGGTGTGTCTCTGTCAGGGACTGAGCTGGCAGGCATGAGGAGTCAAGGGTAAATGTTCACAAAAAGTAATTTTATTCACGAAAAATAATCAATTTACAAAATATACAAAATGTTCTGGGCCCATAAAAGAGGTCAACTAAACAGAACTTAACTCAGGCCACATTAACTGAACAAACTGAACATACTAAACCAACCAACCAAACTGACCTAACTAAACTTTTCTTTTTCTTTCTTTTAGATTTGTTTGGTGGCAGGCATCAAGCTTATAGGCGCATTGCCACCTACCGAACTGGAGTGTGGTACATTAGATGACCCTAACTAAACTGAGACATTGGGGAAACTTAAATAGTGGCTGATCAGGCCACTCTGACACACAGGGGGAATAGACTAAAACATAACATTTAAACAAACCATAATAACCTCAAATAATATCCAGATAATGCAGCCAAATATGAACTAAGGAAAATACTGAAATACTAAACATCAAAAAGTATAATAATCAGAAATAACTGAACTCACCAAGGAGAAAGCACGGCGTCTCCCCATGATTCCAGCCAACATGGTGTAGCCCGATTATCGGCCCAACCCCTTTCAAGCTCTCTGATTCTGCCAGCACTTCCTTTGTCAGCCATCTAAAGAGGAGGCGGGTGGCGAGCATCAGCTCAGTTGCTTTTGTTCTGTGACAAACTGGGATGTTTACTGATGTTGTTTAAAATGAACAGAAGAGACATTTGAAGTGAATATTCTAGTGAACTGTGCGCGTGGCGTCAAATTTTGAACCTTCACCATGAAAGAGGGATTTGAACTTCTGCGTACATGGTCCAATCTCAACGGAACTTCACATGTTTGATAAGAGTCCCGCCCTGAACACGTCTATGTGATAATATTCAGATATAGTGAGAGCCCGACCTAGTGCCAACAGGAGGTATCACGTTTTATACTTTCATGTTCTACTCCTCGCAGAATGATCAGATCCAGCTGAAATCTACTTATAAATCCATAGTGACAGCGCCACCTAGTGGTGAAAGGAAATGTCATTTTTATACTTTTATTTATATCTTCCCACAGATTGACCAGATCCAGCTGAAATTCTGTCAGCGGTCCCTTAGGACGATGCCAATGACATCTTATGAATGTTAAGGATTTGCTTGGAACGTTGTTGCCATGGCGCAGCTTTTGCGTTAACATTTGAACACTTTGGGGGTCTAAACATGCCTTAAAACTCATGAAACTTTGCACAAAATTCAGTCATGGCGAAGGCTAAGGTATTGTCTTGGTCCCATAGATGGGCATTGGAAAATGGCTTAGCCACGCCCCCAGAATCAGCCCCCAAGACAGGTACGACCAACATGTACACTGACATGTGAATATATGGAGGACTGCTCTTTCCTGTATCCATATTGTTCAATAAGCAGCAGACACAGGTTCATTCAGTTCACAATGATTCGTTGTTTCCATTCCTCTAAGGCACTGGCTCCCAGCCTTTATCCTTCAGGGACACCTTTTCTATCACTGAGTAAACTATATGTTACACATATTTCATATTATATTGAATAATAACAATAACAGCAGAGAACAGCTGATAAACTGAACAATGAACCCAAACAGTGAACACAATAACTGCAGCAAGTTTGTGTAAAACCAGAGATTTGGATGAAGTTTGAGCAGATTATTTCCTTTGAATATTGATCAGAGATCAGTTTTCCTGATATTTTAGGGAACTTTTTATACAATTCTCTGTCTGTATTATGTATTCTTTAGTTATTTAGTAGGTCGGGAGGCCTTCTTGGTTTTATGGGGTGTTAGAAAACTTTAGAAAATAAATACAGTAGACATATCTCAGCATTTTTGTTTGATTTGACTTTGAAGACCTGAACACAAACTATATTCACAGAACCTCTGATAAACAGCCTCGTCCTGCATTAAAGAAGTTCAAACAACCAAAGAGCTAAAATAAAAATATATATAACATATATATAGTCATATTGTACATATTGTTTATTTTTCTCTTTATAATATTTTTATTTTTGTGCTTTTTGACTTGAAGTCCGTGTTTCCTTTATTTATAGTTTTTAGCACTTTATGTTTATTATGTACAAAGATAACAAGGCAAACAAGGTTTTCCTGCAATGAAATCTTGCTCGCTCCTCTTAATACTTCTTTTATTTCTGGTCCCTGCTCCTTGACATACCCTCTGTCTTGTATTTGTTTTGTCAAAGCTTTGTGAAGTACGGTTGTGTACAGGGGCGGATCTAGAAAAATATTGATGGGGTGGCGAGAGGGAGGCAGGAATTTTTGAAGGGTGGCAACATATGGCAGACGTGTATATATACTGAATTTAATCACAGTTTGATGACAAATAGTATGTACACACTACAAAAGGGCACGGGCTGCCATTTACAAACTCATACAGACAAACTTAATCTCATGCAATCAATGTCTTGCATTTGAGGTTTCATGTGAAACAGTTCATATTAGGAAGAAGTGACCATACAATGTGATCTCACTTAATAGGAGATAGAAGTATGGTAACACTACTGTAGGTGGGGCATTATCACAGGAAAGGCATTAAGGTAAAACACAGGTGATGAGTGGCAGATGTATCAGAGGGGAAGCAAACAGTTTTTGATTGTGTCAGAGAGGCAGCGTTGCAGGCAGCATTTGTACCAGAAGAAACTATCCAAAGAAATACTTACCCATGAAGATCTATGGACTGAGCTGTACTAAGGTGAGCATAAATACACTGTGGAAATAAATGGGTCACGGCACTCAAACAAGGTACTGGACATGACTTTTATTGTTTACTCAGAACACACATTCTCCCCATTTGTCCCTCAGTAGCTTGAACAATTTTTAGACATTTTGTTTACACCATTTACACCAGTGTCACATTTGAAACTTTTCTTTCTCACACACACACACACAGAAATTTAAAGTGCAGATTCTGTTGAGGTCATCATTTTAACAGCTTTGTAAAGGCTCACCAGTGAGCATAACATGAAGTTGTCATTCCTATAACAGCTGAATGCGGCGATTTCCATGTTGCTCAGCAAACCGCTTCACAAATGTATCTAGATCTAATGCTTTTGTGCGTTTTGATTCAATGCTGAGTACAGCCAAACTCGATAGTCTCTTTTCAGAAAATGTAGTAAAGTTTGGACATATATGTATATATGTGATAGACGCTTCAAAGGCAGAGTGTAGACTGCATAGTTAAAAATGTCATATTGAGCAGCTTTTTGTCTAATTGAGATGGGTCTTTGTTTTTGTATTTTAAAATTCCATGTTGAGTATATTAATAAATCCATATAAATAATAAACATTTGATATAATGTATGTATTTACATTAGATATTCATTTTACACATCATTTTGTAATCAATTCATTTAAGTAACAAAAAATCTGAGGAGCCACTTGGGAGCCGAAAGAGCCGGCTCATTTTAGTGAGCCGAGCCAAAAGAACCGGTTCTCTAAAAAGAGCCGCAATTCCCATCACGTATTCCTACGCATACGGCATAATACGGTGCGGCCGCAGCGGGCAAAGTTGCGCTTATGCGAAGGAATACGTGAGTTATACGGTATAAGGGCCGTCTGACAGCGATGTAAAGCGGTGTGAATTTTCTCTATACAACGTACACTAGAACTGATATAGATTGTTTTAGCTGGTTAAAATATGCTTTGCATCTGGACTCCGTTCACTGCAGTGCAAAGCTGACCTATTCGCTATCTGGTGGACAGTTAGATGAGAAGATCGATACCACGTCCATTAAAGGCACATAACGCACAGTAAAAGGTTAAAAGTGAGATTTAAAGGTGCTAGTAGGCAGATTTTGTTACTTTTGGACCAAGCCAGGCTAGCTGTTTCCCCGTTTCCAGTCTGTGCTTAATTAGGCTAACCAGTTTCTGTCTGAAGCCTTATATTTAACAGGCAGATAGGAGAGTGCTATTCATTTCTCAATAATAATTGAGAAATGAATACCATACCATTTATGGGGATTCCAATTGAGTTCTGAAGGCATGTTGTAAAACTATTGAGTTTTAATAAAAGATGTTTTGTTGCAGCTCTGACTCTGGTTTTATTTAACAGGTGAAGAAAATCTAATGTTGATGAATTTTGGAGTAACAGCAAGCCTGGTCTCATTCAATATGCATATTTTGCAAAGCTGCTAATGTGAAAAAGAAAAATGAACAGTAAAAACATTCTACAACAACATATTGTATTGTGAAGTATTAACAGCTATTTACTGGCAACTTTAGTTGCCAGGTAACCTCTGTAATTTTAATAGAATACAAGATAATGTTGTAAACTAGATTTTTCCAAGAAAAAAAAAACAACAACAACAACAAATTGCTGTAATTTATATTCAACAAAAACCTGTAAAAGTGATCCTGTAATATACTGTAATCCTTTTTACAGTAATTAACAGCAATTTTACTTTACTGGCAACTTTTTCTGCCAGCTATTTACTGTAAATTCTACAGTCAATGTGTTACAGTGTATGCTCGCACTGTGCTTTCATTATAATTCAATTTATTGATCGATAGTTAATAAGTTTTTACCTCTTTCCTCCCGTCTCTCCTGTCCTCGCGACTCCTGGCTCCCTCGCTTCGCGCCACTCAGTGTTTCCAACCAATCAGTGTCTTGCCGGCCGCTCTGACGTTATCTCGTGCTGCATTGCAGTCGGACATTGGAGATTCACGCTCGTAAATGTCAAATGCCGTAACTTTTCTTTTAATTCGTTGCTGCCAACTGGGGTGGCAGCAGGGGTGGCAAGGCTTTCTTTTAGGGTGGCACTTGCCACCCTATGCCACCCCGGTAGATCCGCCCCTGCACAAGTTGTGTAAAGTTGTTAAGTCGTTCATCTAAGTCATGTTACCAGGATAATATAATAATAATAATAATAATAATAATAATAATAATAATAATAATATATAGATCAAATATTTTGGTAAAGTTAAAAAGGGTATTTAAGGTATTTTTGTAATGATGGCCTGTTATTGTTATGTATACTTTGTGTTTAAGAATTTAGTAAAAATGTGAACAGCTTGGGCTTAAAAGTATTAATGCTACTGTAAATGTGGTGTTGGACCTAAATAGCAGTCACTGTTGGTGAACAATGGTACAAATTAGGAGTTTGAATTTGATTTCTGTTTCATTCAGCAGTCATTTTGTACATTTGTAAAATGTCAGTCCAGTGGGTTAGTATATGAACCTTAAAGCTTGATGTCATGTAAATTGCAAAATGAAGATTGTTGTGAACAAAACACTAAGTTGGTTTAAATGAAGTGAAAAAGAAAGATTCTGTTAAATAAAAACAGAGAACAGCCTGCTGAGCGATCACAAGTAACGTCTCCTGTCTCTGCTTTTCCTGCACAAAACAGGATACTATACCTGCTTACGGGTAACTCATGCTTGAGGCCTGTAACATTTTGATAGTTGTTTTATGATTTAATAATCAGTGAGTAACTTTTGGATGTTTTTCTTCATGTTGCCATCTTGAGCTGTTTTTCCTCTTTGTACAGGAAGAGAAGTTAGACACAGTGAATCTTTTACTCCTTTCCAGTCAGTTTTTATCCATTTGAATTTGACATTTTCAGTGTGTGAGTGGAGAGGACTACAACTGCATGTTATTGTGCAATCCTGTGTTGTATAATGACAATAAAACAGAACTTTAAACCCTCGATAACCCCTCCCTCTTCTTCCTGATTCAAACACAGCGAGCTACACTCTGTTCATGTATTTCCTTGTTCCCTCCCCTTCAGATCTACAGTTTGTAGATGGGTGTAACCAACATGAGCAAGAGCTGACAGGCCCCATTCACTGCAGAGACACATGTTGTTGAGATCAGAGCTCAACCCGGCCTCATTTATAAGGAAGTGAAACTCAGACAGTCGTTGTCACTGAGAGGTGAAATGGCGCAGAAAGGAGTTCAGCTGGACCGAGAAACCTTCTCTTGTTCCATCTGTCTGGATCTACTGAAGGATCCGGTGACTACTCCCTGTGGACACAGCTACTGCATGAACTGTATTAAAAGCTACTGGGATGAAGAGGATGAGAAGAAAATCCACAGCTGCCCTCAGTGTAGGCAGACCTTCACACCGAGGCCTGTCCTGGTAAAAAACACCATGTTTGCAGCTTTACTGGAGGAACTGAAGAAGACTGGACTCCAAGCTGCTCCTGCTGATCTCTGCTATGCTGGACCTGAAGATGTGGCCTGTGATGTCTGCACTGGGAGAAAACTGAAAGCCCTCAAGTCCTGTCTGGTCTGTCTGGCATCTTACTGTGAGAAACACCTCCAGCCTCACTTTGACTCACTTACCTTTATGAAACACAAGCTGGTGGACCCCTCCAAGAAGCTCCAGGAGAACATCTGCTCTCGTCATGATGAGGTGATGAAGATCTTCTGCCGCACTGACAAGCAGACCATCTGTATTTTGTGCTCCATGGATGAACATAAAGGCCACGACACAGTCTCAGCTGCAGCAGAAAGGACTGAGAGGCAGAGAGAGCTCGAGGTGAGTCGACAAAACATCCAGCAGAGAATCCAGGACAGAGAGAAAGATGTGAAGGAGCTTCAACAGCAGGTGGAGGCTATCAATCGCTCTGCTGATAAAGCAGTGGAGGACAGTGAGAAGATCTTCACTCAGCTGATCCGTCTCATGGAGAAAAGAAGCTCTGATGTGAAGCAGCAGGTCAGATCCCAGCAGGAAACTGAAGTGAGTCGAGTCAAAGAGCTTCAGGAGAAGCTGGAGCAGGAGATCACTGAGCTGAAGAGGAAAGACGCTGAGATGAAGAAGCTGTCACACACAGAGGACCACAACCAGTTTCTACACAACTACCCCTCACTGTCAGCACTCAGTGAATCTACATCCAGCATCAATATCCGTCCTCTGAGGTACTTTGAGGATGTGACAGCGGCTGTGTCAGAGCTCAGAGATAAACTACAGGACGTTCTGAGGGACAAATGGACAAACGTCTCACTGACAGTGACTGAAGTGGATGTTTTACTGTCACAACCAGAGCCCAAGACCAGAGCTGGATTCTTACAATATTCACGTGAACTCACACTGGATCCAAACACAGCATACACACAGCTGTTATTATCTGAGGGGAACAGAAAAGTAACATTCATGAGTCAACAACAGTCTTATTCTAGTCACCCAGACAGATTCACTAAAAGGTATCAGGTCCTGAGTAGAGAGAGTCTGACTGGACGTTGTTACTGGGAGGTGGAGTGGAGAGGGGGAGGAGTTCGTGTAGCAGTCGCATACAAGAATATCAGCAGAGCAGGGAGCTCGAATGAATGTGGATTTGGACACAATAACAAATCTTGGTCATTATATTATTACAATAACAGTTATATTTTTTATTACAACAATGTCTCAACTCCTGTCTCAGGTCCTCAGTCCTCCAGAGTTGGAGTGTATCTGGATCACAGTGCAGGTATTCTGTCCTTCTACAGCGTCTCTGAAACCATGACTCTCCTCCACAGAGTCCAGACCACATTCACTCAGCCTCTCTATGCTGGACTTTGGCTTTATTCTGTTGGATCCACTGCTGAGTTCTATAAACTGAAATAGACAGAAGTCATTTCAGGGACTTTGTGTTAAACTCTGAGTTTGAATCCTTAAACTGATTTTGTCTTCATGTTTGTTGCTGAGAGCTGATTGTTGTGGCGTTTCTTCACTGCACAGAGATCAGCTGTCAATCAAACATTGTGGGCGGTACTTTGACATCTTCTCATTAGTTGTCCTGTAAATGTTTGAGTGTGTTTAGGTGGCGCTCCTTCCTGTGTCTGTTCAGCCATACATTTTTTGGTGTAGTAATATTTATTAGGTTAACTGTCACAATTGTTATTTTCTAATTGTAAGTATCAGTGAGAACTGGAATTATTCAAGTAAAACTATATATGTCTTTCATGTAATAAATAAACTGTGTGGGAAGAGTAAGTTTTATTGTGTATTTTCACATAATATTCAAAGGTTTCATAGTCATTGCCCATGAACTTAGAAATACCAAGTAAGTTTTAATAGTGTTTGTAATAGTGTTTTGAAACCGGGACTGACTGTATAATTAATAGTTCGCTAGATGCTGTGGATAAATGGCGGGTTTGCCAAAATGATGATTCGCATAATGAACTCAAGGCAACGACAGAGTACACAACCGCTACACATAGGAGGGGAAGGGAGGAGAGAAAACGTTTCAAATATCCGCAGCGTCGGTTTGGAGAGCCTCTACCAGACCTCACCAAAACCCTGCTGCTAATCATTATTTAAGCTAAAGAGGAAGCTATGGTTTTTGTTCATTTGCAGTGTACTCGTAGTTTGCCACAAATCTAAAATCTTACTGAGACAGAGCAAACAGAGGTCAGGAGAGATGTTCATTCCCACAAAATGTCACTCAGTTTATCAGGATAAATATGATTTCATTTATTGGCATTTCAGATTTGTTTCTTACTGTGGCTGTATATTTTTATTCCATATATGAAAATACTTTATGTGTCTTATTTCAACTAAAAGAACCACCACTTGTAGAAATGATGCACTTTCCATCTTTTTGAGTTGTTATAGAGCTACTGATGAGCCTTAAGTATCTGAAATTCAGATTCATTTGTGGAAATTGGAAAAAATTCAAATGATCTATCCAAAAACATTTCCTGTGATCATTTTCTTCCACATGCTTCATAAGGACCATCACCTTGTTTGGATCCCTTTCTTTCTAATCCCCTCGTCTATATTTTGCTCATAATTTGATATGAAGCCTCATTGTTCTCTATTCTGATTCCGTTTACACTGTTTCAATTTGGATTCTGCATTATTCTTGATGCATATGACACAGCTCTCTCTCAACAACGTGAATCTAGACCAGCAATGCTCTTGGAGGAGAGGAACAGAATCACAGCGGCAAAAATGCAGGATTTTCTTCATTTAAGATTTAACACATGTGGAAATGGGTGTAATGTTTTAGATCAGAGCCATATTTTCAAATATTATCCAAAATACATTGGTTTGACAGTGGTACAGTTCATTTTGGTTACATGATCCTCTAGTTTTAATGTAGTATTTCTTGTAGTATTCTGTAGTTTTAATGTATTATTTTGTCTTTGTGTTTTTGTCCTTAAGCCCAAAGCAACAACTTTGTACAGTTGACACAGTGCCATCTCAAACAGCAACTACAGCAAGCTGTGTCACAAGAAAAGCCATCTGGCTATTCAGGTAAAAACAAAATTGTGTAGTGCTTTGCAATTCATAAGTTGTAAGAGGTTTACCATCATCACAGAATATACATACTATTCCAAATGAAAATGAAGCAGAATATGTACTATGCACCTGAACATGGATTCACATATATTTTACAGGATATCAGCAGAGAGGAAGTTCAAGAGGACCAGGCTGAGCAAGTCCTGAGGATCTGTGTCTTCCACACAAGTGAAGAAGATGAAGGTGCATCCGACACTGATGTGTCCATTGTTATTGAAGGGACTGAGGTACTTGACAACTATGGAAGTGTTACAAAGGCCTGTCTCCTGCTCATGAGCATCATTTATGCCATGAATTTGAGTTACCCCCCAAAAACAAAGTACACTTTGGAAGTTTTTCAAAAGCTTCTTCTAGAGCTTGATGTCCTTAAGCTGTCCCCGAAAATCCTGTCTCTGCGAAACAAACTTGAGTCTGAGTGCACATGTATACGGCACAGTTGTTAATGTGGCTATTTGTCTATTTTCTTATTTTTCTCTCGTTTTAATGATGTCATTTTTATTTGAACTTGTTGCACTGTATTAAATACTTACTACTAATACTACAAAATAATACTACAAAATTACCTTAAAACTTACAGTAACTTCCTGGCAACAATTAACCAGCAAGTTACTGTAAATATGTTTTACAGTAGACATACTGTACTTCCATTTACAGTATTGGTGTAGTTACTGTAAAGTAAATACTGATTAAATACTGTGATTTCAGTTCTTTTTACAGTGCTGGTTTATTTACTGTACAAATAAAAACAGTTAAGCACTGTTTTTTTTAAATGGTATTGTAAATGGCAATACTGTACTATTAACAGTGGGTAACAGTTGATCATTGTAAATTCAGTTACTCACTGTTTAATTTAAATACTGTATCACTTTGATTTACTATTATCCAACATTAATAGAATGACCCATATTCTAAAATATTTCAATTAACTACAGAAAACAAGAAAATTGTTAACACAGTTATTTATTGAAGACATTTGGTGAACAGGAACATGATAAAGCACAGGTTACCAAACTTTTCAGACCAAGTACCAATTCAGAATCAACACAACAATGAAAGAGACACCTCTACTTTGTCTGACTACTGCAACTACCCAGGCACGCCTGAAACATTAGAAACAAGAAATCAAAAATAAAAAAGCTAGTTCGTCAGCCGAGCTTCACAATTATACATTAACTTTAAAATACTGAACATTTGCATGAACAATGCATCAGGACACTCACACTTGAAATAAAAGTCTATGGCCTCTTGCTTGCCCTGAACTTGGAGACCCAGATCCCAGTTGGAGCCCTGAAATTAAAGAAGAAAACACAAACAATTATATTTATTACAATCACTTTGTAATGCACCACGTATGTGATGAGGGTCTAAGATGGTGATGTCGTGTCAAGGTACTTATTCCTGATAGAAAGTGTATCAAATATCCAAAGAGGACAATGCTGCATTCAGTTTAAGGTAGCAGACATTTTGATTCAATATGTAATTGAGTTTAGCAATGTGTTAAAATGCTTAAAGAGATGTTGAATTAACTGTGATTAACATGTTTTTGATTGATCATGAATTACAGCATGTTTGATTTTTCCTGAAGTCGACTCAAGAGCCTTCATCAGTGGACCATAGTCTCAATCAGCATTCAATCACTGACACAACAGTAGCTTAACACACATTATTTAATAAGATATCTGAGAGAACATCTTTGAATAAACCATCTTGAACTTTCAATGCAAAAGCTATCATCAGAACCTCACCTGCATCTAGTCAGTTTGCCAATCGAACTCAGTGAAGTCCCTGATGAAGGAGATTGGGGGTTCATGTATGAAGTCTTCCGCTTCACCACTCTCCCAGTCTTCCGGCTCATCTGCTCCTTGGCACTGCACTTGGTGGAGTCCGGATTAATCCTGACTAAAAACCTATGAAAATGAGTATAGGAGTTAAGGGTGGGACAATATGTACATGTTAACGAGTAACCGGTTAGAAATCATAACTGTATGCAGAGAAAAACTAAACAAACTTTATTAAATAGATAAAAATAAAGAAAATACAGTATCTTGGACATGCATTAACTTATTTCTCAGAATTCTTTGTTCCCCCTTTTACTGATTAGAGGTGATAATACTGTCTGAAAAACACTTGTTACTCCAAGTGTTGACACAAGCGCAGTTATGTTACAAGTAATACATGTATGGAGCATAATGTCACATTAATTAAAAAATGCCAGTGGGAATAAAGTTTAGTATATATATTTATCAGTCATAAATACTCTCTGTGGAGGTGGGCGTGGTTTGCGCTCAGCTGCAGGAGGGAGAGGTGTGGGGAAGACCTGGGAGAGTGGCACCAGGTGAGTTGATTACCTCACCTGCCAATGATTGTCTGATGACTCTACCTTTTATCTTGGCAGTAGTGTGCTGGATCCCGGAGAGACACACGCCGAAAGACAGGCCTCTGGGCGGAAGCTGCCGCAGCAGTACAGCTGCATTTTGTGCCTCAAATAAAGAGTTGCGTGAACCGACAGTCTGGTCCGGGAGTTTTGTGTGCTGGGGAACCCCGTCTGTAGCACGGCTTGCTACACTGGCGCCCAACGTGGGGCAGCACACGGAAATGCCCGATCCACAACCGCCCATGCAGCAGCCTCCACAGCAGCCGCCTCCGCAGCCGGTCCCGCAGCCGCCACGGAGCAGCCATCACAGCTGATCACACTGCTGGGAGAGATGCTGGGGCAGATCACGGCAATACACAGCCAGCAGACGGCAACAAATAGACGGCATTTGGAGGCACTCCAGAACCAGGCGGGGAAGCAGAACCAGCTGCTGGAGGGACTGCTGGCCCGGTCGGGGCACAGTCTCCATCCCCTCCATGCTCCTCCTTTTCCGGCATCACCATGCACCGGATGACAGCGGCGGATGACCCCCAAACCTTCCTCGAAATGTTTGAGGCGACGGCGGAGGCCTGTGGCTGGCCGGCGGCGGAGTGGGCCGTGCGCCTGCTTCCCCTGCTGTCAGGAGAGTCCCAGACTGCGGCGCTCGGCCTGCCAGCTTCTGCTCGGGGGGAGTTCCGGATCGTCAAAAGAGCCATCCTAGACAGGATGGGTTTTTCCCCCGAGGATCACCGCCGCCGGTTCCGGTCCGCCACACTGGGATCCTCTGACCGTCCATTCGTCTTTGCGCAGCAGCTGAAGGACGCTGCCACCAGGTGGCTGCAGCCGGGGGGATCCAGCGGTGAGAGGCTGATGCTGGAGCTGGTGGTGCTGGAGCAGTTTGTGGAGGGGCTCCCGACCGGGACCGCGGAGTGGGTGCGGTGCCACCGACCGGGCGGATTTGGAGGCCGCCATCACCCTCGCCGAGGATCATCTGGCTGTCCACGGTGGGGACCGAGCCTCCGGAGAGGCGGCCCTCTGCACCCGCCCGACCCGTGCCGGCGCCCCGCAGGAGACCCCCCACCCCCGCTACCCCCCGACTGGAAACTGTTGCCCGGCCTCTCCCTCTGCCACGCAGTAACCAAACCTCTTCTCTCTCTCCTTCCCAGGGTCCAGCCGCTACGGGTGCCGCTCTCGGCCCACAGAGGGTTCCTCAGGCGTCAGGGCAGGAGTGTTGGCGGTGCGGGCAGCCCGGGCATTTCCGCAGGGAGTGCCCTCTCATGGAGGTCGGACAGGTGGTCCGGGTTGCTGGCCCACCAACACCCTCCCCGGTCCAGGA